TTCTCCTAATGAAGTTCAAAAAGAAAGTGTCAGAAGGAGATGTTGAATGAATCAAAAACAAAACAAAACAAAACAAAAAACCAAAAAAAATGCCATAAAGGTAAAACTGAAGTTCTAGCTTCCAGACAAAACATCAGTGGACAATTCATAGTTCAGACTTCATTTCTTCTAATAGGATGGCTTTTCACCCTGGGCAAATCTCCAAGAGAGTTCGCCTATTCAGGACCCAGGGCAAAATAGGTCCTTTGCAGTTAAAGCAAACACTTCATACCTTGAGAGGAAATTGGAATTTGAAAGAAGCAGCACAAAACTGGACATGGGGAGACCCAGCGTTCCACACATTCTCAGTCCCTGTGCAACCAAAGTTCTTTGTGCCTCTGTTTATCCAATTGTCAGATGGAGATATTCCCACCTGCCCTGACTTGCAGTCTGCAAGGGGCTGAGTCAGACGCACTGAGAAAGTAAAAGTGCTGTACGGATGTCAGGTGGTTTGACATCGATTAACTTTTTATCCAGTAAGGGGACCTCTCTGGACCTCTTGAGGTTTGCGGTCCTAACCAACTTCTTCATGTCAGCTTCATGGTCATTTACACGTGGATTCTTTGGTTTTACCTTCCTGTTGGACCAGATTATGGGCAGCTCTTCTGGTTTCCCCATAGCTAGTCAAAGCGTAACCAAACTATTTGGGGGAATATTTTCTCCAGAAGCCTCCCAACACTATAAGAATAATTAGGAATCAACATTTGGAATCTCAGATTGGAGTCTGAGACATGTGGAATCAAAGATTCTTACCAATTTAAGACATTATCTCCCCACGGTCATATTACGATAAAGAGATCATGATCATGGCTGCCATGTAAGGTTGCACAGTGTGTGGACTACACAAAGGGTTTAAGGACTGACTGATACCTACTTTTCTGTGCCATTTAGTTATGAGGTTATTTACTTAAGGTGCTCTGCCTGCCCAGAGAGGGCACTTTCATCCATTTGCACAAAGGCTTCAGAGAGGCTAGAGGTCTTGACTTTGGGTGATTACTTGGATTCCGGCAGGGGTGGGGGAAGAGGTGGCAGCGTGTAGAGCCATGGCTTTTTCTTTCTGCTTTAATCCAGGCCAGCCACCTCTGAGACTGCTGACTCCTCCAGCACCACTCTTGTCTCTTCCCCATCCCTCTCACACATTTTCTACCCCCTCCATTCTTCTTTTTCTTCCCTTCCCTGTGTCTCTCTCCCTCCCATCTTTTGCTGTGCTCCCCCCGCCCCCGTCCCGCTCTTAGGAGACAGACTGATCCACAGGAGCCGTCCCTGTTCCCCGGCCTCCTCGTTGAGCCCTTGTTGGTGGCATCCCTGTAATCACTTAGGAGTTTCTGCTCAAGGTCGATTCTTGACACAACCACAAAGTAGTAGAAGTCTTGCTTCTTTGTTTTAGCCTCTTATCATTCTGCCTGACACCCCTCTCTCCCTGGTGACCAGGGTCCACGGACCCATGCAGACAGACCTGGTGGTCTGTTTATCTTATCTTGCGGTGTTAATGGTCAACTGTGTTGCCTCCGTCGGATGTGTTATCATGTAAAAGAAGATGCCGGGGAGACTGTGTCTTAGTCCCAAGGAAGGAATCGCAAATGGGAGAATTTCGGGCAGCTTTCTGGCTGAGATAAATGGTAGAGAATTTTTTGATAGAATAATCCCTCAAACACATGCTATTTCTACCACTTTCTTTTAGGAATTTTTCACAGATAGGCTTGAAAGAAAATGTCCAGCCTCCATGCCTGCCTCTCTTCCTCCTTGCTGCTTATATATTTGAGATTGTAATCTGTTCTCTAGAGGGCTCATAGCAGGGCTTTCGAATTGATGGTCCCCCAAGACATAATCATTTTCTCAGCCAGGCTGGCCCAGACTCTATCCTTGGTGGTCCAGCATCTTCTCTTCATCACACCCCCACACCCTCCTGAGCAACCCTAACCACGCCTGTGCTTTTGGCCCCCCCACCACAGATGACCCTCAAGCCTGTACCTCAGGGCTGGAGTACTTTCCTGAGCTCCGTATCACTGTACATGCTGCCTATCAGACAGGCTCACCTAGTACTCCTTGGACACCTCAACTCAGCAGGCCCCATACTGAATGTCATCTCCCCACTCTGACGCCATGCGAACCTTTTCCACTTCCCGGTTATTGACAGCATCATTCACCAGCTGCCCAAAAAGCCAGGAGCTGCACCCACAATTAGCTCTTCACTTCCTCCTAATTCCTCCCAAATCTCTCTCTTTCTCTTACTCTCACCCTCACTGTCACTAGACTAGCACCAGCTCGTGCCAAGACAATTGCAAAGACCCCAACTTGTGATCCTGTGTCCAGTCTCTCTCTTTCTCAAATCATCCTTTGCTTGCTGCCAAAATTTTTCCAAAGTGCAAAGCTGACCGTATTAATTCTTGAACAATAACTCCTCCATTTAAGTACTCCTAAGGCAAGAAAAGTGAAGGAGCTCCCGACAGGTTTGGGAGGGGTCAAAAGAGCAGGATCTGGAAGGCCCCGCCTTCAGTACAAACTTTCTTTTTTTAATCTGATTTTTGCAATTTTGCATTCCATTCTATAATGTATCAGTCTGTGTTTTAAAATCAAAATAACATTTCTCTAAATCTTCAAGCAAAATTGATCCTGCAGAAAGGGGTATGTTTATCCTATAGCTTCAGGAACCCTCGGAGCCTCTAGTTTGAGAAGCTACTGTCCTAGCTGGAATGCACATTTCTTTGCATGTTATACAAGGACCTTGACAGGTGTTCATTTGTCTCAGCAGCTCCAGCCCTTCATCCATCTCCCTGCAATCCAGTCACACTGAACTTCTGTGATCATCAAACCGGTTCCCATCTCAGGATGTTTACTTACTCTGTTTTCCTCGAACTAGACTGAGCCCCTCCCCCTTCTTTCTACCTAACTTCTAGACCCAACTCAAGTATCATCTTCCCTGTGAAGCTATCCATGACATACCCTACCAGGCCGAGTGAACCATCCCTGGTTTTGTGCCACCGAAGTCCCACACCTCTCCCATAGCATGTATCCCATTAGATTGTAATTCTTTGTCTATGTCTCTCTTCCCCACTGGACTGTGGATTGCTTCAGAGCAAGGTCGTGTCTTTTTCATCTTGACTTTTCCGGGCCCAGCACCATGCCTGGCACATGCCCAGATGGGAGATCAATATGGCCAGGACTTTTCATCCTACTGCTCTCCAGGGTTGATTTGACTGATCTGAATGACCATAGGAATGTTCCCTTCCCCTCTGTCAATTAGATGATCCCAGATGGACAAGGACACTCTGATCAAGGGCAGGTCAGTAGCTTTCCTCTCCTGCTGAATTCCCTCACGAGCTCTCCAGACCTGACACATAGTAGATTCTCAATGAATATCTATTAAATATCTGGATGAACTAATGATCAGCACCACTGTTCTCTTGAATTAAGCTACATTTTATTTTCTCCATCTTATCTTTCAGGGAATCCTGATATCTCTGAATCCCCATAATGTAACAATGTGCCAACACTTACTAGACACTAAATAAATGTATAATAAATGAGTGAATGGACAAATGAAGTAATATCTTCAAATGTTTTTCTTAAAAAATACATGCACTCATTTTAATTCTTCATCCTGACACCTAGTGTGTTTACTAACCAGTTAAGAACTAGCTTTTCACTTAGAGGGGCGCCTGGGTGGCTCAGTCGTTAACTGTCTGCCTTCGGCTCGAGTCATGATCCCAGGGTCCTGGGATCGAGCCCCGCATCGGGCTCCCTGCTCCGCGGGAAGCCTGTTTCTCCCTCTCCCACTCCCCCTGCTTGTGTTCCCTCTCTCGCTGTGTCTCTCTCTGTCAAATAAATAAAATCTTTATAAAAAAAAAAGAACTAGCTTTTCACTTAGAAATGGAATCTTGACAAATTGATGATAATTGAAATTATTTTGAAAACCTTATCTATGACAGTGTGATTTTTTTTTTAAATTTCGGGCTCCTTTAGGTGTAGAATTTTTGAGTGGCTTTGATCTCTTCCATAGCTAATATAATTTAATGTATAAAACCATGATCCTCAGAGGAAGGGCTATCTCTTTTTTTAAGTGTAAATATTCAATAAATGTGGCACTGCTTTTAAGCATTTGGCTATAACTACATAAAATTTTACTAAAGTAGAAAGCTTGGCACCCCACCTAGCCCACAGTGAGGGCTCAGTGAGTATTTTGCTCATCATTTATTCATTCTCTTCTAGGCTTGAATGTGGAATGTAAGAACCAATGCTTCTGGAATATCAAAGCAATGCCCAATTTTAGTTGAGGACAACAATGCTCTTTCCTTAGCTACCATTCAATTATAACCTAGTTGCCAGGGACTAATAAAATATACTCTTTTTTTGGCTAGGTATAAGCCAAGTGGATAGAAACTTCAGGCTGGGGAGGATTTTGTCTTGCTCAAAACTTACAGCAGTGCTCTCTAATGTATTTTCCTAATTTTGCGCACTTCTCCCAGTAGAAAGTGTCTGACCAAACATCTTCAATATATGCATAATTATTTATTTATAAATGTTATACATTTATTACCATACTAATGTATATGTACTTTAAAAAAAAAAGTCATCAAAGGGGTGATATAAAAATGAATAACGGTAGAAGTTCTTGTTTTCTTTCCTCACCCCAACAGATTGTTTTATAACTAGCCCACTGGTTAGTTATAAAACTAGAAGTCTTGGTGGAATCAATGTTCTCTGGGGTCACTGAGTACGGGGAACCCCAGCTCACCCATTGGCTCACTCCCTTCAATTAATCTTATCAAAAGTAACTGGCTTTAAACTTTTAAGAAAAAATTAGAATCCAATGATAGAATGATGATTTAAAAGGCTTTATTTCCAGAGGAACCAACTTTTTATGGTCATGCCAAATGCTGTACTTCACTCCAAATGAAAAGAACTAGACTTCTGATTATACTGTAGGATAAAGAGAAAGGCAATAAAGCTGCAGTGTCCTCGAAGCATGCCAAAAGGAATATGGTAAGGAAAAAGAGGGTTTTATCTCACAAGGCCATAAACACTGAAAAAATTAATTTTTCACTCCAGGAAATCAGCAGTCATCAACATGCTCTTTGCAAAACATTAAGATTTGTGATAATAGCAAGTACTGCAATGGCACTCCGTGTGGTTCTCCACTTTGGCATTTCCCATCACTGTGGCCTAAAGGGAAAGGGAGAAAAAAAAAATGGATGGATGGACGAAATTGAAAAATGTTAAATAAAATTGTCTGTAGCCAGCTGGACTAAATAGATGCTTGTTCCATTGCACATTCTCCATTTCAGCTAATATTTCACTCTAAAAGATTAGGTTTGCACTGTGTGTGTATGTTATACTCTCTTCCAACCTACCCCTCATCACCTCCACAGCTGTTCCTGTCATTCTGAATAAATCTAGCCTAAATCAAAAGGTTACTTTTGATTTAAGGGAACAAATCCCTGTACCAATGTCAAGCAAAGGATGGGTCATTCGACACCTCTGACATTAAACCCCATGGATATGTTCTGGGGACATTTCTCAGGTTGGACTGTTAGAAAACTTCTGGAGCCTTCTAAGTTCTCACCTTGGTAAATGCTTTGGCCACACAGCATGTGGCTTCTGAGGTGATGTTCTTTGGGACCAACATTGTCTTCTTGGACCTTGCTGGAGTGGGATATGCTCTGGAGAAGCAGCAACCCACGCATTGATAAATTGGGGCACCCAACTTGGAGAAGTATTTGTTTTCCTTTAGCTTGCATTCTGGGCAACCTATCACCAAAAAGGCAAAGAGTAAAATAATCCAAGAATAACTCAAAAAGAAACAGGAGCACCTGGCTAAGGTGGTGGAGCATGTGACTCTTGATCTAGGGATCCTAAAATCCAGTGCCACGTTGGGCATAGAGTTTATTTTTTTTAATTGAAAAATAAATTTAAAAAAAGAAACTGAATTTTCCCGGATTATGAGATGGTAGCTTTCTTTTTCCATTGGAAATAGAAGAAAAATAATAAACACTTTTTGGCTGTTAACTTTCACGCATAGTATCTATTTGTACTGATTATATTTATTTTCACAGGAAATAATTTTTGCAGATATGCATGGGAGATCTCAAGAGTAGTAGCTTCTCACATAAACATAAAAAAAAGAGTAGTAGTTTCTGTCTCTTCAACCATGGATTCTCTCTCCCAATGCTAACAGCATGCCTATAGGGAGCACAAAACTTGACAGATAAAAACACCATGCTCACCTGAAAGGAGAATTTTGCCCAGAGGCAAAATATTTTCCCCTTTAGAACATGCTATTGTTTTCCCCCATGGAAACTCCAAATATTGACAGAGAAAAATATGTCAGAATTAAGAAAGCTTGGTGAGTGGAGAGCCTGATATTAGATGGAGCATCTGCACTTGAGAACTGGGATTAAAATATTATCAATTGTCTAAGAAAAACCATAACCAATAGTAGCTCACAGTTTCATAGCATAAGGAATTATATCAGCTACTATATGAGATTTTTCAAATAATACAGCAAAACAAATGCACTGCATAAAATGGTTTTGTTTTTCTCACTTGTTAACTGATGTGAAAATTCATCTACAAAGGCAATGTTAAAATCTTCTCAAATCTTCTAGGAGAAATGTAAAAAAAAAAAAAACTGAGCTAAGTGAATAAAGAGCATTTTCTGCTTATAAAACTCAGATAAAGAATAATAAGGAATATAGTTCAGATGAAAATGTACATGCTGCTATTTAAATGGACATGTTAGATAAATTTTCACTATACATTTTCTGAACCTAATTTAACTTTATGTTTACAATCTAAAAGTGCCTGGATATATATCCAGCAGCAAAGATTTATCACATTTGAAAAGGAGGTGGAAATCTAATTAATGGAGTTATTGATGTACATCTAGAAATCTGTGTTTTTCCTATTACTGCAAATTCTTTTGGTCACATACCCTGCATTGCAAACTCTCCATCAGGAAAGGAATGGAGAATATGCAGAAACACAGACAATGTGGCCAGAATGACGGCTGCATATTTTCTGTAATAATCCATGGCTCTCCTGCAAAACAGACAAGGAAAACAAAGTTACTCTAAAATTGGCTTACCAGTCATCAAAACAACTAGTAGGTTTAACATTACTACTAATAATAGTCATCAGTGTCTTGACCCCTTAGCTTACAGCTCCAAACATACTCTGGAGCCATGTAAATAAGAAAGCAATTTTTCCTTAGGAAAGAGCTAGGGAATCGAATCTTTCCATTTCACATATAAACTAATAGAATTGGACTTGATGCTAATAAAAAATTATCTTTTTAAATATATCATTCTGCTAAGTCTCAGTGTGCTTATTTGTAAGACATGAAACTTAAACTAGATAATGTCTAAGAAGACAGAGAGAGATAAGCTTATGTAAAGTAGATAAGCTTATATATGATATATAAAATGTATAAGCAATTGAGTTCATCCTTCCCATTCCTACATCCCCAGGTAGGAGAACAGAAGGTAAGGACAATGTCTTTCCTGCTTTTTATTCACTGGTGGTAGTGAGCTCTAAGGCTCATTATCAGTGTGCAAGAGTAAATGCTAGCTCAGCAATGTGGCAAGAGTAGACAGCAGAGAATGTTTATCAAAGTTTTCCTAAATGCATTTCTTGACTTATTTATACCTGTAGATACAGCTTTACCTAAACATTTTGAGTGCATAAGATCAGGCTATCCAAGGTCAGCTGTGATTGACTGTATCCAGCATTGACCTCACCGCACCTGAGAATGGGGCGACAGGGAATTGGATTGTATCCCTACATATCCTACAAAAACTTCATATAAGATAAAATGGGCAAGTTTTTATTCCTATTTTTTAAGTGAAAATGTTATGGATTACTCATGTTCATACCATGAGAGATAAGATGAACAGAGCATCAATTACCAATAAAAAGACAATTCAGAACATTTAAAGGAGAATTAGCCCCAACTTTATAGAATCTCTTTTAGAAAATAGAGGAGGAAGGAATAGCTCCCAACTCATATTTCGAGGCCACGATTACCCTGACACAAAAACCAGACCAATTCAGTATGAAAGAAAGAAAGAATGAATGAACAAAAGAAAGAAAACAAAAGACCAGTATACCTCATGAAATTAGATGCAAAAATTAAAAAAAAAAAAATCCTAAACAAAATAATAGCAAATTGAACCCAGAAATGTATAAGAAGATTTGTATATGACCAACTGCAAATAATTCACATATGCAAGGTTGGTTCAATATTTGAAAATCATTTAATGTAATCTACCATATCAATAAGATAAAGAAGAAAATCATATGATATATCAGTTGACACAGAAAAGCATTTGACAGCATTCAATATTCTTTCATAATAAAAAGTTTCCACAAACAAGAGCCAAAGAGTTTTCTCAACTTGATAAAGAACATTTACAAAAAATCTGCAGCTGACATCATACCTAATGATGAAAAACGAATGTTTCCCCCCCAAGATCAGCAACATGGCAAGGATGCCCACTCTCACCTGTTATTCAGTATACTACTGGAAGTTCTAGCCAGTGCAATATGGCAAGAAAAAGAAATTAAAGGCACACAAATTGAAAGGGAAGAAATAAAATTATCTGTATATGTTAAAAAAAAAAAAAAAAGGAACCTACAGAAAAGGTCCTGGAACTAATTAGTGAGTTCAACAAGATTGCATGACATAAGATCAACACACAAAAATGAATTGCATTTCCTCATACTAAAAACAATAATGTGAAAACAAATTTAAAACATAATACCGTTTACAATTGCTCCAAAGAAAATAAAATACTGGGGCACCTGGGTGGCTCAGTCGTTAAGCATCTGCCTTTGGCTCAGGTCATGATCTCAGGGTTCTGGGATCGAGCCTCACATCAGGCTCCCTGATTGGCGGGGAGCCTGCTTCTCCCTCTCCCACTCCCCCTGTTTGTGTTCCCTCTATCGCTGTCTCTCTCTATATATCAAATAAATAAATAAAATCTTTAAAAAAAAAAAGGAAAGAAAATACTTAAGTTTAAATCTACCAAAATATATATAGGACTTGTATGCTGAAAATTATGAAATAAATTAAAGAAAACCTAAATAAATGGAGAGACATATCAGGTTTATGAATTGGAAGACTCAACATGGTAAAGATGTCAATTATTTACAATTTGATCTTTTTATTGAATGAAATGCCTATCCAGACCCCAGAACAGCTTTTGTAGACATAAACAAGGTCATTGTTGAAAGGCAAAAGATCTAGAATAGCTAAAACAATTTAAGAAAGAAAAGTGGGAGGACTCACTATTCCCACTGTTAAGACTTAGTGTACAGCAACAGTAATCAAAACTGAGTGATACTGGCAGAGGGATAGATACATAGACCAGTAGAACAAAACAGAGAACCCAGAAATAGACCCACACAAATATGGCCCGCTGGCTTTTGACAAAGATGCCAAAACAATTTAGCAGGAATTCAACCTTTTCAACAATGGCTGTCGGTACAACTGGACATCCATAGGCAAACAAACAAAAATTGAATGTAAACCTCATACCTTGTATGAAAATCATTGAAAATGAATTATAGACAAATGTAAAATGTGAAACTATAAAATTTTTATTAAAAAATAGAAAAAAAATTGGGGGACCAAGGGCTAGGTTAAGAGTTTTTAGAGTTAACAACAGAAACATGACCCATAAAAGAAAAATTAATAAATTGGACCTCATCCAAATTATGGGTTAATCCTTTGTTAAGAAGATAAAAATATAAGGCACAGACTTGAAGAAAATATTTGCAAGCCACATATCCAACAAAGGGCTAGTATCTAGAATAGACAATAAGCTCTCAAAACTCAACAGAAAAAAAATCCAATTAGAAAATGGGTGTTGCAGGGGCACCTGGGTGGCTCAGTCTGTTAGGTGACTGACTCTTGGTTTCCGCTCAGGTCATGGCCTCAGGGTCATGACATTGAGCCCCACATCAGTCTCTGCACTCAGCAGGGAATTTGCTTGAGATTTTCCCTCTCCATCTCGTCTACCCTTCCCCCACTCTCTCTCTCTCTCTCTCTCAAATAAATAAATAAAATCTTTAAAAAAGAGAAAGAGAGAGAAGAAGAAAATGGGTTTTGCAGCAGAAAGGATATCTAGATGGCAAATACGTACAAGGAAAGCATTTAACATCATCAGCCATTAGTAACATGCAAATTAAAACTACAGCGAACTAGTATATATCCATGAGAATAACTAAAACAAAACATAATAATAATACCAAATGCTGGTATGGATGCAGAGAAATAGGATAATTCAAACATTGTTGGGAGAAAATAAAATGAAAAATCATTTGGGAGCTTCTTTCTTTTTTTTTTTTAAGATTTTTATTTATTTATTTGTCAGAGAGAGGGAGAGAGCACACAAGCAGTGGGAGCAGAAGGCAGAGGGAGAGGGAGAAGCAGGCTCCCTGGGAGCCCCATGTGGAACTCGGATCCCAGGATGCTGGGATCATGACCCGAGCCGAAGGCAGGCGCTTAACCAACTGAGCCACCCAGGCGCCCCATTTGGGGGTTTCTTATAAAACTTACCATATAACCCAACAGTTGTACTCAGGCATTTATCTCAAAGAGATGAAAATTATGTTCCTACAAAACTTGTATACAAAGGTTCAGAGCAGCTTTATTTATAATAGGCAAGAACTGGAAACCATCCAAACTGCTTTCAATAGATAAATAGTTATAGAAGCAATAGTACATCCACACGAGCGAATACTATGTGGCAACAAAAAGAACACATTATTGATACACATGCAAGGCAGATAGATCTCAAAGATATTGTGTTGAGTGAAGGTTGCATGCTGCATGATTCCATTTATATAACACTCTATATAATAAAATAAAATTAGAGAGATGCCAAATAAATCAGCAGTTTTAAGGAGTTAGTGTTGGGGAGGGAGTTGAGGTGGGGATAAGTGTGGCTATAAAGAGAGCCACATGGTGATGGAACAGTTCTGAATCTTGATTGTGATATTTGTCACACTATTGTACACATGGGATAAAATTGCATGGAACTACACACACATTCACACACACATACACGCGCACACACACAATACCAGTGAAATCTGACTAAGCTCTGTGGGTTGTACCAAAGTCAATTTCCTGGTTTTCACATCCTACTACAGCCAGGCACAGTATTATCTTTGGGAGAAACTGGCTGAAGTATACCCAGGACTTCTCTGTACATATTTTTGCAACTTCTAAATCTATAATTTTTCAAAACAAAAAGTTTATTTAAAAAAAAGGCATTCTAAAATAAGATTTAAAATTGCATGAGTCAAAATTTGTGGTTATTTTTCAGGCAGATTGACAGAATGAGGCCATATTTTTGCCAAAGGTTTATATCAACCTATACATCTTTTAAGAAAAAAAAATTGTCAGCAGAACTAACAGTTTATAATATAGAAAAACAAACCGTATAAATATAGGTACGGCTAAAACAAAGGTATGTTATTATTTCTCCCTGACGTATATACTTATACATAAGTAATTATAGGTTTTATTTATCTCCACACCTAATTAGCACCAAACAAACATTGTTCTAAGTTGGTGGTTCTCAAAGTGTGATCCGGGGCCTCTCAACACTTTTCAGTGAGTTTGTGAGGTAAAAATGATTTTCATAGTAATTCTAAGATACTATTCACCTTTTTCGTTCTCAGCCTCTCATGAGTCTTCAGAGAAATTTTCTAGAGGCTACATGACATGTGCAATTGCAACAGATGGAGTAAAGATGCACATGGGAATCTAGCTATGTTCTATTAGGCCAGTTTTTCAAAAAAAATTATAGAAAGATAAAACCATGCCACCCTTCTTACTAATTTTTTTGTTTTGGAAGTTTTCATTTTTTTATAAATGTATATTTGTGTTAACATGTGATGGGTTAATTCTTACTGTTTTAAAATGAATACATATGTTAAAACTTTTTCTAACATTTCTAAATCAGTAAATATTGAGAAATATAACTTCATAAAAAATTCTTTGGACTCCTCAACAATTTTTAAG